GATGAAACCAATGCCCTGGATCCATTCCAGTCGGGCTTCAGACCGCACCGCGGTACGGAAACGGCATTGGTTGCCCTGTTTGATGATCTGCTGAGGGAGGCTGACCGGGGCAAAATGTCTTTGTTGGCCCTCCTTGATATCTAAGCCGCCTTCAATACCATCAACCACGGTATCCTCCTGGGGAGGCTCTCCAAGCTGGGAATCAATGTTATGATGCTTGCCTGGCTCCGATTCTTCATGAAGGACCATCCTCAGAGAGTACAGTTTGGGGAAAGTGTTTTGGCCCCATGGAGCCTCACTTGTGGGGTTCTGCAGGGCTCGATTATCTCACTAATGCTGTTTAATATCTACATGAGGCCACTGGGTGGGGTCATCAGGGAGTGTGGGGCTTCGTGCCATCAGTACGCTGATGACACCCAGCTCTACATCTCCATTCACAGTGGATGCCATTCCGTCTCTTCAGTGCTGCCTGGAGGCTGTACTGCAATAGATGCAGGAGAATGGACTGAGGCTGAACCCGGACAAGACGGAGGTCCTGAGGGTGGGTGACCCCTCCACTGGTGGTTTGGGAAACTCCCTCTCTTTTGGGAGAGTGACTCTCACCACGAAGAGTGAGGTGTGCAGCTTGGGGTTCCATCTGAATCCGGCACTCACTATGGAAACCCAGGTGGCGTCAGTGGTCCGCTCCACCTATTATCATCTGTGGCAGATTGCTCAGCTACATCCCTATCTTGATGTTCGGGCCCTCACCACTCTGGTCCATGTGTTTGTAATTTTGAGATTAAATTACTGCAATGCACTCTGTATGGGGCTACCTTTGAGATTGATGCGGAAGCTTCAAATGGAGCAGAATGCGGCGGCCAGACTTATCAGTGGGATGAGAAAATATCAGCGTATTTCCCCCACTCTGGCTGCCTTGCATTGGCTGCCCATTCGTTTCCGCATTGATTTCAAAGTGTTAATGATCACATATAAAACCCTAAATGGTTTAGGACCTCGATATCTAGCGGAACGCCTCCTCCCACCTACCCGAACCACTCGTTCTAGCCAGGAAGGGCGGCTGAGGGGCCTAACGCCAAGGGAGGTTGTGAGAAAAAGAACAAGAAACCCGGCCTTCTTGGCAGCGGCCCCTCGCCTTTCGAACAGTCTGCCCTCAGAGATCTGTCTGGCTCCCTTGCTGGGTGTTTTTAAGAGCCAACCTATGACCTGGCTCGTTAGGCAGGCTTTCCCTCCTGTCATCACTTGATTATTTTTATTTTTTCCCCATCTTGAACCATATTACTATTGTTGCCTTTAATTTTATTATACTGTTTTTAGTCTATTTTTATTGTTAGCCACCCAGAGTAGAATTGTGTCTAGATGGGCAGGGTATAAATTTAATAAATAAAATAAATAATAATAGTAATATTAACAGTATAGCTGTAGAAGTACAAACAATCAAAAATGGAAAGTAAAATAAACAAGAGAAAAAAATATATAAATTATGGGATGATTTTTTTAAAAATCCTTTAACACCCACGTTGAATCGTTGAATGTCTACAATCCTGGAGGCTTAGCAGTACAAGGCCAGCTAGACCAATGATATAACTTCATGTAAGGCAGCTTCCAGTATTCTTATTAAGCACAGAGAAAGTTTCTGTCTGGGAATGCCAGTCTCCCATTACCAAGGATCAGTTATATGTAAATTTAATTCCTATAGCTGAACAGTAGACAGAGATGAAAAGTAGACACACAAGTATGCATTGTTAATGGTTCTGTCCAAGGACAAAAACAGCTAACATGTAAGAGCACACAGAGTGGCTCCTATTCCACTTTTCAGTTCCTCCTGGGCCTCGAACCAGCACCACCCAGTGTCGCTCTGCCTCTCCCCCCTCCCTAATTGGGGAAGAGGGAGGCACTGTTTTTAGTCTATTTTTATTGTTAGCCACCCAGAGTAGAATTGTGTCTAGATGGGCAGGGTATAAATTTAATAAATAAAATAAATAATAATAGTAATATTAACAGTATAGCTGTAGAAGTACAAACAATCAAAAATGGAAAGTAAAATAAACAAGAGAAAAAAATATATAAATTATGGGATGATTTTTTTAAAAATCCTTTAACACCCACGTTGAATCGTTGAATGTCTACAATCCTGGAGGCTTAGCAGTACAAGGCCAGCTAGACCAATGATATAACTTCATGTAAGGCAGCTTCCAGTATTCTTATTAAGCACAGAGAAAGTTTCTGTCTGGGAATGCCAGTCTCCCATTACCAAGGATCAGTTATATGTAAATTTAATTCCTATAGCTGAACAGTAGACAGAGATGAAAAGTAGACACACAAGTATGCATTGTTAATGGTTCTGTCCAAGGACAAAAACAGCTAACATGTAAGAGCACACAGAGTGGCTCCTATTCCACTTTTCAGTTCCTCCTGGGCCTCGAACCAGCACCACCCAGTGTCGCTCTGCCTCTCCCCCCTCCCTAATTGGGGAAGAGGGAGGCAAGGCCTCCTGCGGAACAAAACAG